CTATTCAGTTGATACAGTAAGTGGTTTTATATTATTATCTACCAAATGTTTCTTAGGTGAAATATAATACAGTAAATGGGCTCTGAGGGCTACATTGCATTGCCCTTTGTTTTCCAACCCCATGATTGATATTAAGAGGCATTGCTATTGATTTGGTCAGTAACATTGTTTCTCCAGTGGACTTTGGGTTTCGATCCTCCCGAAGTCTCAACTGAGCCATCATTTTATCAAACAGTCACCTGCTCTCTGAACCCAGTAATTGTAGAACCTGCCTCAATCCAGTCCTGTAGCATTGCATAGACTACAGCACAGCGTGGTGCTATCTAAGGGATTAGGACGTGAGTAGGGCGGGGAGGGAGCTACTGTTTTCTTCAGCCTTACAATCACATGAATATAATTGCTCAGTCAATACCTATTGTTCGGGTAAATAGAGACGTTAGGTGTGAAATCACCAGTCTGGAACCTTCATGGGATTCTTAGATTGATTTTTAAAAAAGAAAAACTCAGTCTTCACAGTGCCTATTGAGCTAGAAAAGGGGTTACCAGGCCACCATCTTGTGGAAATTAAATCAGCACAAACAGATGTGGAGCAAACCTCATACCTCCCATGGTTTCCTTTAAAAATCACTTTACCTGCATTTGACCTCTGATACTGTTTCTGCATGTTGTTGTTTTATTGTGTTGACTTTTTCCACATCTATATGGAACAGAGGGAAAATGCTCAAGTTTATAGTTTCTTGTTGTGTAGTGTGATGAGGATGAGCATTTAATGTTGTCACATAAACTTAAGATTTAGGGGCTGACGCTGTGGCACAGCGGGTTAATGCCCTGGCCTGAAGCGCCGGCATCCCATATGGGTGCCAGTTCTAGTACCGGCTGCTCCTCTTCTGATCCAGCTCTCTGCTATGGCCTGGGAAAGCAGTGGAAGATGGCCCAAGTCCTTGGGCCCCTGCACCCACATGGGAGACCTGGAAGAAGCTCCTGGCTCCTGGCTTCGGATTGGCACAGCTCCGGCCGTTGCGGCCAACTGGGGAGTGAACCAGCGGCTGGAAGACCTCTCTCTCTTGCTCTCTGCCTCTCCTCTCTCTGTGTAACTGACTTTCAAATAAATAAATAAATCTAAAAAAAAAAAAAAAAAAAAACAAGATTTAAAGGTGAAAACCATGCTGAGTTTGATAAATTATTGCTCTTTTTTTGATAAATTGATGTCTGTTTATCATGATTTCAGACAAACTTACTGTCCTTAAGTTTGTTAGCTTACTGTTACTTGTGAAACTTACTTTGTCCTGAGAAGCATGTGTTTTGCAGTTTAAGCTGCCCTACCAAAAAGCACATTGTAAACACAAGGGCATTTGTATGAGAGGCTTCAGGATCTTGGAATTGGAAGGCAGAGTGATTCATGAGTTTTGCATCAATTATGAAACAGTCACAGATGAAGATAAGAAGATATGGATGGGGCAGTAAACTCTTGAGTTAGACCCGCTGAGCAATGATAAATGAGTCAGGAAACACGGAAGTTCACAATAGGTATTAACTCGAGCTGCATGTTCCGATGGTGGGTAGGCGACAGCTTGTTGAAAACAAGCCCACATACATACCATGTGGCTAGCAGGATGGAAACAAAGGGAAGGCCTTTATTTCTTTTTTTTTTTAAGATTTTATTTATTTATTTATTTGAGAGGTAGAGTTACAGAGAGTGAGAAGGAGAGATGGAGAGACAGGTCTTCCTTCTGTTGGTTCACCCCCCAAATGGACGCAACAGCCGGAGCTGTGCTGATCAGGAGACAGGAGTTCCCTCCAGGTTTCCCACGTGGGTGCAGGGGCCCAAGAGACTGGGCCATTCTCCACTGCTTTCCCAGCCACAGCAGAGAGCTGGACTGGAAGTGGAGCAGCTGGGACCAGAACTGGTACCCATATGGGATGCCGGCACAGCAGGCGGAGGATCAACCTACTGCGCCACAGCACCAGCCCTGGGAAGGCCTTTATTTCAAAGTCTCTCCATGCCAGTCACCTTCTCCTGTACAAGAGTCTTGAGAGAGACATATCATTGAAGAACAATAACACTTGGAAAACAAAGGGGTGTTTTTAATAGCTGGGCTCATGCCTAATGGTTTGTAATGCAGAGCTCTGTGAATATTGGCTTGGGGCCTGTGACTTGGACTTCACGTTAAATCTTAGCTTGTTTTGACCTGTGCGGATCTGAAAGACATTTTCATATACTCTGGGTGGAAAGACAATGGTTATGTCATCCCTGGAAAAGCAAATTGTATTTCTCTTTGAGTGACTTCCTCTTCTTTTTTTTTTTTTTTTCAAATGAACCACAGGGTCACACTGTAAAAAAAGCTACTTAACTCTTCTGATCCCCAATTTTATCAAGAGGAAAATTTTGTCTTTTAGTTCCAATGAAAAGATGTGGCAGCTGTCTTATGCTGTCTGTTGGCATGCCTGCCCAGGGGAAAAGCAGAAACTGCATATAAGCAAAATCTGAAAACTTGATTGTAACACATGAGCACAGCAAGACCTGGCTTCCCTACCACCTTCTCTTCCCCATGCTGCTCTTTGTCTCTGGGAAGTGTTTGAGCAATTTGAGATTCCCAGTAATCTAAAAGAAAGCCCCAAAGTGAAAAGAAACAGTGACACCCACGTTGGTTCTACCCAAGTCAGGAAGCTCTATTACATTTCACTAACTATTCAAGAAGAAACTGGAAGCAGTCACTAAAGTTAAAAATGGTTGCTTAGGGTTGGCATTGTGGTTAAGCTGCTGCCTGCATCCCACGTGAATGCTGGTTTGAGTCCTAGTGGTTCCACTTCCAACCCAGCTCCCTGCTAATGTACCTGGGAAAGCAGTGGCAGATGGTGCAAGTGCTTGGGCCCTGCCACCCATGTGGGAGACCCACATGAAGCTGCTGGCTCTTGCCTTCTGCCTGGTCCTGCCCCAGTAATTGCAGCCATTTGGGGGAGTGAACCAGTAGATGAAAGATCTCTCTGTGTGTCTCTTCCTCTCTGTCTCTGACGCTACCTTTCAAATAAATCTTTTTCAAAAGAAAAATTGCATGCTAGCACTCAGCGCTGTTCAGTCTTGGCATGTTGAGGCAACTACACGTGTAAAACAGTCGCCTCGTGTCCTCTATGTATGAGTAATTTGCTAAGATGCACAAACTGAAGTGCAAGGAGGTGGTGAAATACTTCACCTAATGTGGCTGGATTTCCTTACTCAACTCAGGGGCACTCGTTATATAAATTGGCTTCCTAAACATCTATCAGGAGCTTTGCAGCTACATAACTTAATTTGTTTCTTTAAGGCTAGTTTATGGGAGGGATTTTCCAGTTTAGATCGCTGGTAAGACGTGGAGCAGCCTTTCCCTAATGAAGTCTCTATAGGCCAGAAGTCATAAACTCGCGACCCTCAAACAATATTCGTGCCAGACAAGATTGATTTTTTTTCTTATGGCATTGAAAAAAATAGTTGCCAGTATATAATACTAAAATCTGATTTTTCAGTTTAAAAGAAATTACTGAACATAAGGCGATACACGTAATATTTTATGTAACCACTGGTTTATGCCAAATAGCCCTTTGTCCCTTAAAAGGAGACGTAAGCTTCCTAGTTCACCTGGTTTACCTCGTCCATGCTGCTTCCTGGCCTTGGAGGGCTTTGAATTTGCTACCTGTTGCGGCTCTCCTCTAAGAGGCCAGAATTAGAAATCATGAATTGTTCTCTAAAAGTGACTAAGGCTTGTCACTTATTTTTTATTTGTTTATTTTTTACTTTTGCACAGTGACTATGAGAAGCATTTTCCTTTTTGGAAAAATGACAGTTACTCTGTATAAAATGGAGAATTTTACACTAGTTACTTGAATAAATCAGGCATGCAGAGAAAATCCTCAAATAGTATAAAGGTAGGATCTGAAATTGCAATTACTCAAGGGTAATCGCCCGAGTTTTCTACCTCACTGTTTCCCCTTTGCTTTCCATACATAGACATCATATTCAGAATGTTCCGTAGTCAAAGACCATAGTCATAATTCCCCTGCCTCTTTTTTTCTCTTGTTCGGTCGTTCGTTCTTTTTTTTTTTTTTTAACTCATTTGCACTCTTGGTAGCAATTGTTGGAGCCCTGCAGGGGAATAATTGCAGGGGAATTAACCTCTGACATTTTTCTAAAAATAGCCCTACTAAATCTAATCATAGGTAATTTACCTGTCCATGTTCCTTGGGGGTAACCAGTGTTGAAAAAAGATTTGGCAGGCTGGCACTCCTTCAGCAATTACCTGGTGATGGGCGTTCCTGGTGCCTGTGCTTTTACCCCATTTAGAAGTGGAGTCCAAATTGCCCCCTCTGACCGCATGACCCTGTTTTCTCAGCACCCTTTCCCTTGAGTTTGAAGAAGTCTGGGCTCTTGCAGAAGGGTGTGTTGGGCCCACAAGAACTGGGAGAGCGTGGGTCACGCCAGAGCGTCTGGGGGGTCCTTCCTTGAATGTGTGACTGGCAGTATTCCCCGCCGTTTCTTTGTGCACTGCCCTTCCGTGTGCTGGGTCTGAGCATCCAAATCCGCTTCATCGCGGTCCTCAGTCCCAAGTTCAGTGACCACAACTGAAAGCGTTTGAGCAAGTTTCTTGGTGCAGAAGAAAGGGAAGGAACAAGACCACCTGCCTGTTGAAGGGTCTCTGCTTGGTAGAAATTATTGAAGAAAAACACCATTTCTCTGCGCTGTCAAGAAACTCATTTTCTCTTACCCAATACACAAAGGTCTGAATGTGCTTGTTCCTTTTGTTCTCACCAGATGTGCTAAGAGGTGAAGCGCCGTGTGGGCATCTAGGAGATTGACTGCCCCAAGTCCCCTTCTAGTGCACTCGAAATACTGAATGTAAAATCCTTGTAAATTCCACTGCAGCGACAGAGCCCTAAGCCCTTAAATGCACAGAAAAAGAATGTCTATTATCTATCCTTTCAAAGTAAGTGTGCAGTTACTTACGTTGCCTTTGTCTTCTTCTTTTCAGCTGACATTATCTCTACGGTAGAATTCAACCACACGGGAGAATTACTAGCGACAGGGGACAAGGGGGGTCGGGTTGTAATATTTCAACGAGAGCAGGAGGTAAGTGGCAGTGAATGCAAAATGCCTGTTTGCTTCTCTTTTTCAAGGAAGCCTCCTACTGTTCTCTAATCCTCATGTGTCGCCCTTAACCTTGCTGCTTTGCTCACAAACTAAAAACTGCCAAAAAATCATTAATATCAACAGTTGCACATACAGACTCACAGAGGCCCCTTCAAAGACAGTCTGCTATGGGCATGGCCTTCCACGGCTCGAGGCCTGGATATCAGACCCCCATGATGACTCCACCGCTTGTCTGTTCTGCAAAATTCCATGGGTGTTTGTTGAGCATCGTGACGCCTCCTTTTGGGGTGACAGTCTCCTTGAGCATGCGACAGTCAGTCTCCCTCGATTTTGGGTGGCTACCAGAATATGTTGAAGGTAAAAAGGAGTTGTATTTGCCAACGGATGGGAACAGGACAAGTGCGGTCAGCAGAGAAGAAAATGGAGTGCAGTTCCCATAAAGGGAATGCAATGTCCTGAAGTGACATCTGAACATGGCACATGGCTGGCACCGCCCCTGGCATAGGTGACACGAAGGTGCCCCGAGCTGAGCTCTGTGGGCACCTCTGTTTGGGAGCAGAAGCACTGACTTCCAGCGAGTTTCCAGAAGCCCATTTGTTTCCAAGACTTGGAATCCCCTAGGAATTGTTTCTCTTTTTCATATAAATTGAGGTTGTAGTTTTGTGTGTGTGTGTGTGTGTGCATGCTTCTGCTTTGTCAGAATGAAATTATGGCCCAATTTGATTTCCTTGGCCTCCCCTGGCATGGTGGTGGAGCTTCCAGCAGGCAAGTCTGTGTCCCTAGTCCTCTCCCATCTGCCACTGCCTGCCTCTGAGATTCACCCAGCCCCCGGGAAGCGCGAGGAAGGCTTCACAGGAGACTGCCTTGGCAATTTAATGCCTGCTTTGTGCCTCAAAGCCATTTGCATTACACCTCCCCTCAAAAAAGGGAAGCCTCATTTAGAGGTGATATATTTGGTAATTGCACATTATTTGCAATTAATTTCTATAAGGGCATCATAATCCCTTGGGCTTCTGTATAAATTCAAGTGTTGAGCATTAAATCAGGCACCCAGCCTATTGCATCGGCCCTGGAAATGCGAAAATGTGGTTGGCAAGCAGCAACTCCTAGCTCTTCGTGACCTGGAATTTTTCCTGCTCTTCCAGAGCTGCCTTGTGCTAATTGGTCTGGCACATGCTACACACACTTGACAGTCTGATTTGGAAGGTAGCAGATCAACACTCGTATAAATTTATTGTTAAGGTGGACTGGCTCTCTCTGCAAGTAAGCAAGTGTGTCAGCAGTTAAAGTCCTCTGGAAACGGATTTCAGACCTTCTCTACATTTTTTTTAAAAAGCTCCAATTGGATTCACTGTGATAAGAGGGTAGAACTGGAGGAGCTACTTAGCATGACCTACCTATGGCCACATGTGACCTGGTCTGCAGTTTCCGGTAGCTCTTCTTAAGGGTCTCCTATTTTAATCTCCTGAAATATTTAGGAAGCCTGATTCATTAGTGGAATGACAAGGGACATGTTTTCCAAAGCAGGGTGGTTTAGCTCAAGAAAAAATAAATGCCATTGAGGAAAAAGAATTTGCAGTTAAGTGTATGCTATTGTGTCAAGCTAGGGATTAAAATGAGAGCTAAACATGAGAAACCAAGCCAGGTGACGTCATATGGGGCAGACTTGGTTCTGGTTCCAGGATGCATAGTCATGGAGAGCTTGTTTGTAGGAACCTCAGTGCCCACTCGGAAGTGTTTCACGCCGAGGGCAGCACCCTCGCCCGTGAGTCAGTTAAGATGTGGGCTTGGATGTCCTCTATCCACCCGGCAATACAAAATTTTAAATGGAGCCGGTTTACTCTGAGTCAAGCTTCTGTGGCTGTTGTTTACTGAGAGCCAGGTTTGAACTGTTGTCCAGGTTTCTAACGCCTGAGTCTTGACTCTCTGGGCAGGACGGTCCTCCAGGGACTGAAACACCTCCCCCCCTCCCCTTCTTGTCTTTCTCTCTCTCTCTCCTCTCCCGTCCTCTTTCCCTTGTTCCTTTCTTGCCCTTGTGTTTCGTTTTCTCATCATTTATTTAGTTCCTGCTGTTTGCTCTTTAATCGTTGCTAGGGGAAAGCCAGAGGAAAAGTCTCATCGGCTGCATCGTGATACAGCTGGCATCTCTGAGTGCCAGTTTTGTCCCTTGTGTTAGGGAGGAAGAGAGAGAGAGTCGGATGCCCAGACTGGATCCTTGTGAGCTCTGTGACCTTAAAGAAACAGCTTACTATTTCTGACCCTCTTTTGTCCATGTCCCCGCCCTGCCTGCTTTTCAGATTCTGTGAGATTTTAAAAAGCCAGTGAAAATTGCTGAAGCTGCAATTTTGTACTGTTTGTAAGAGATTGCTACCAGTATACAAAGGGTCTTCAAAAAATTCATGGAAAAGGTGTACTGTGGGGGAAAAAATGCTTCTCAAAACTTTCTGCACCAGGATAAACTTCTCCTTTCATTCCATGTTCCCAATTACTTCTTGAAGGCCCCTTGCACAGGGACACCAGTGTGAGGTGGCTTACCTCATATCCAAGGCATACTTCAGAGTACAAAATATAAATATTGAAGCTGCTACTTAAACTGATTTTAAAATCTTGTCCTATTTTAACTTCTGTATCTGTGCTTGTGTTATGATATACACCATATATAAGTGCTGAAGTTCATGCATATAGGTTACAAATAAATATATGCATATTGAAGGTCTAAATATTTGAAAATGGGGAGCATGATCAAAAACTTTGGAAGAATGAGTGTTTAGACTAGCAGCTGAAGCATGCACATGCCATATTGGAGTTCCTGTGTGTGATTCCCGGCTCTAATGCGAGCCCTGGGAGCCAGCAGCGATAGCTCCAAGTTTTTGGGCTCCTGCCCTCCCACAGGGGAGACCTCAACTGAGTTCCCAGCTTCAGCCAGAGCCCAGCCTAGGTTGTAGGACACTGAGGTTATAAAGCAACTGATAGGAATGAGTGCGCACACGCTCGTGCGCGCTCTCTCTCTCTCTTAACATAAATAAAAATTTTTAAATAGCTTGAGAAGCCATTGAAGTAAGATAAAACATGGGGCTGTCCTCATCCTGGTTCTCATCACAGTGACTCTGCCCAAAAATGAAGAAAGAAAGAAAAAAGGGAATCGGTGATTTTGAAGTTGACTTCCATAATTTAATCTTCTATATATATATATATTTTTTTTTCCCTTCCTGCAGAGTAAAAACCAGGTTCACCGCAGGGGTGAATACAATGTTTACAGCACATTCCAGAGCCATGAACCCGAGTTCGATTACCTGAAGAGTTTAGAAATAGAAGAAAAAATCAATAAAATAAGATGGCTCCCCCAACAGAATGCAGCTTACTTTCTTCTGTCTACTAATGGTACGTGAACTTATCCTGTTTGATGTTTGGGGAGATACCAGTCAGCCAAGCTATATATATTTCAGTCTGTCTTAGCCTCCATTTCCTTCCTACCTTGTAGGCTGGTAAACATGTAGAAACCACCTTTGCAAGATGCCTGGAAGAGTGCCTGGCACATACAAAGCGTGCCCTCAGTACATGGTAGCCATTCTGTTTTAAAATATCAAATTTATGACCCAATTATGTGAAACTGGTGATCTGCAGTTTTCAATGGCTGTAGATTATTTGCAGGTGTTTTTGGAATGTGACTTCCTGTCTTCAGATTCACTGAGTGTTATTCTGGGAATACATTTCAGGAAACTCGACATGGCGTCTCCGTGAGTTTGGCACACTAAGTAGAAGTTATTAATCCCTGAATGTATTTCAGGGCCTGTGAAGCAGATGGCTGTGTCTCTCTGACAAAATCAAGTTCCAAGCTAGGAAGGAGCACACGTCGAGAAGAGAACAGGGACCCTAACAGAGAACTGGGCAAATCATTCTCTCTCTGGTCCCTTTATATTCTCTTTGTACTGTTTGTTGCTATAAATAGGTCAGAGCGGGAGAATGTTAGAGGTTGGGTAGAGGGCCAGATGCAATGCTCGGATACAAGCAGGAAGCCTTTGTATGGTGGCAGTGCCCGCCCTCCAGCCTCCTAAACCACGGCCGAAAGAAACCATCCATGTCCAAACAGTTTGGAATAAAGCTACACGTTAAAGGGTGTCAGTTGAGAAGTGTAACAACTAAGAGGATTAGTATATTCAGATGACGCATCTTCCCCCAAACAAATAAATGGGCAAGCGACGCATTTCGTCCTGTGTGTGAACCTCTGAGGAACACATTTAAATTTAAGTCACGAAGCTAAGGATTTGCTTTTTCCCTGTACCGAACATCTAAAAGAAAGGGAAGTGCTCACCTGAAAAATGCAGAAGATGTGCATCATGCAATCAAACATTCATATTTTTAAAAAACTGAGGAAGCACAATAAAAGGTTGATCATGATTAATTTTTAATTGCGTTTTGTGGATGACTTATGAATGCATTCCTTTTATTTTTACTTTTTATATTTTATAATAAGCCATATTAATCTTAGAACAATGAAAGGGACACAGTTCATCATGTGTAAAAATACCAAATATGAGGCTAGCATACAGATCTTCGAAAGGGCCCTTCTGAAACAGCCCATTTAAGCTTATCCAAGCAGGTCTCATCTAACACAACAAGATCCCCACTCACCTGTTTCTCCAGATTACAGGTCGTTTCGTTCTTCCTCATAACTCTTTTTCTTGTCCTGTTCACCTTCTGTGAATCTGATTTCTTAGAAGCCAAGCCACGTGCATTTGTTAGAATTTCTCCCCTTCCAGTTGGGCTGCTTCTGTTTGTTTCGCTCACGGGCTCTGTAGATTGAACACTATTCAAAATAAGAGACTTCTGATGATTTTTACTTCATTACTTCTACGGGAGGAAATTTGCTTTCTATAACTAGCTTACTGTATGTTATGAAATTTAGCCTATTGATTATTGCAATGCAATTCAAAGAGTTATTAACTACTTTGTGTTGGGGGAGGGGATGTGAGAGAAAGTGAAATGCAATGAAGATTAATTATATAGCGTAATGTTCTGTTAATTGAGTTTTTAAGTAGTTTTTTGATTAACAAGGATATTATCTTTCCATTTGGGATGCTATTTCATACGCCAACATCATCTCAAAATGATTCTTAAAATAAAAATCCCCATGTTCTTGTATGATTTTCTTCTTCATACTAATATTGAGGTTGAGATTCTCCCTTAAGCCAAATGGGTTAACATGCAAAATTTAATGGGAGACAATTGGAATTACTGTACAAAAGAGAAAATGAAGATAGATGATAAGATGGTGTTAAAACCTGCCACGAGTGATGATGAAGTGCTTAGAGAAGCAGCCAGAAGGAAGAAGAAGGCATTACTCACAGTAACAGGCGCACGTTCCTTGGACTTGGAGCCACGAAGCTTCAAGACACCAAGTCAGGAAGAACCATGTGCTCATAAAGTCAAGAACGACTCCAGGCAACACAACTATGGGGAATTGGATGGAATTTGCCATCAATTATCTTTTTTTAAGGAAAAAAAAAAAGTATGCTCATCTCATTATAGTTGGGTACAATTTTTACTTTCTGCTAGGAAGATATTTTCTACATTATGATTTTTAATGAAAACTAAACCAACATTCATTTGTGAAGCTTGACCTTTAAGTTATTTGCCATATGATGACACATGGCTGCATTTAGCTTCCTACTCCTGCCTTAATACCTGTGATGAGAGTGGAAGGTTCAGAAAATTTGTTGTGCTTGCTCTAAAGTAGTACACATTTATTATTTTAAAAATGGAAAAAACAGAAGCAAAATGAAGACAGTAGAACTGCTTCCATCAAGAGATAACTACTGGTTATGTCTTTTTTAAAAAAAAACAGCAACCAGGCATAGGTTGCTTTATAATAGAAACGTGTATAGTCTATAAACTACTTTGTAACCAGATTTTTTTAATTTAATTAATTACAGGAATGTCTTACTAATTATTAAAATTATTTCAAAATACCATAAGACTTTCAGTGCCTTCATAATGTTCCCCTGTATGATTTACTAATAAGTCTCCCACTACTAGCTCTTGAGCCATTAACAAATTCTCACTGCTGTAGATTATATTTTATGTATTATATCCTTATAAATATATATAGAGATACACACTGAATAGGTAAATAGATAATTAGGCAAAGTACATATTATAAACTATGCATACTGATTAAAATATTTAAAAATTACCTATAAACATTGAAAATTTTCTTACTGGCTGCCTCTGAGAGCTTTTAATCTTTTAGCTTTATATTTATTTTCACTTTCTAAGACAGTGACATGTACCACTTGTATATTAAAAAGATGAAAATGAGAAAGTAGAAAATCTGTATATGCAATGCTATTGTTTGTAACACCCCTGAAATAAGGCATAGACAAAATACTATTAGGATCTATGCAAAATGTTGGCAATGATTGTCCCTGATTAGCATCATTAGAAGTGATTTTTATTGTTTATCTTTTACCTATGATTTCTATTTCCCTGAATAACAATTTGTCAATCATGTTCAAGAAAACCTAAGACAAAAATGGCCTTGCCAGTGGGATAGGATCCATTTCAAAGCCTAGCAATAGGACATGTTTGGTGCGAAATTCACTGAATCTGGGCTTCTTCTAAGCCACAGCTGAACAGGAGCTAATCAAGTGGCTCCATAAATAAGGGCCGTGTTTTATTTTCTCACCCGAGAAAGCAGCTCGGTGTGCCGCAGCATCTCCAGAGCGGCGCTGGCGTCTAGAGAGCAAATTCTAAATTAAGCCCGCAGCTGGGAAAGGCAGCTCTACCTTTTGCCCCAGCATGAGCGAGGGTGAGCACACGGCCGGGAGCATGCAGCGGGCGTGCTTGGACGCGTGGCTGGGTGTGCCAGCAGACGCGTGCCCGATAGGAGAGACGAGAGGGCCACGGATCTGTGCCCAGAGCCCCCTTGTTTCTGAGTGGGGCACTGAAGACCCTGAGGACAAGGCTCCTGCTCCTGACGTGTTCCAGGGAGGCAGTGCCAGGCGCCAGCGTCCCCTGCTTACACAGGCCTGCACTGCAGGGACAGAGGCGTGCTGGTGGTGGTGCGCAGGATGTGTGGAGAAACAGAGGAGCAAGATGGTACGCGGTGGGAGTGGTGGGTAGCAAAAGAGAAAGGAAATCCTAATAAAGGCAGGGCCGGCTTTTCTCCACCCACCATAGAATGAAGACGCTGGATGTGCTGATGTCAGTGGGATGAAGCTGAAGCCATCAGAGCAGCGTGTTATTACGGCAGGCTGTCACCCAATTTGCTAATTCCAGTGACAGCTGCCATTTGTGGGCCATCATTAGGAGCCCAGCACTGTGTGACACACTCTGCGTGCCGTGATCTGCGATTCGCTTCGTGCCCACAGGGCCCCACGAAGAAGACCCTGTTTTCCCTCAGTTTAGGAATAAACCGAGACCCAGAGAAACTCAGGGTGTTGATTCGTCAGGGTGACACACGGGGGGCCTACACTCAGACTTGCTCATGGCTGATCTGAAATTCAGATGTAACTGGGTGCTCTGTAGCTTTCTCCCTGCTAAATGTGGCACTGTGACGTGTCCGTCGCTCGGGACACCAGCCCTGTGCCTTCTGTGTGGGAAGCACATCCTTGGCCACGTGGCTGGTTGAAACTGGAATGAGGACTGGGCCCCAGCTTAGTGGGCTCCAAAGCCTTGTACAGGACATGAGGGAAAATGCAGCAAAGGCAACCAAGCCCTGCCTTCCTGAAAAGCAGTGAAAACCAGGAGGACCAGTTAAGGCCGGATCAGATAAGGAAGGTCCCCAAAGGCGTGAGACCCACAGACACCATTTGCCTGGCCCCAACATGTTTCCTTAAAAAGTGGAACTGAAAGCCTACAGGCTGACGCCCAGTCCCCGGAGCACCTGTCCGCTTCGACTCACTTCCCTGGCCTGGCCGACCCCCGTCAGCGTTGGACGTCTCCCCTCTGTTTTAGTGCTATGGAGAATGACAGGCGTTGTCGAGTAGCATAGTACCAAGGGGAAGAGGGAGTTCCCAGCTCCGGACTCCAAGGAGACAGCAGTGGGAAGCAAACAGCTTGATTCCTCCGCTTAGCCTTGTCTGTCCCTGAGTGTTGCTAGACACACACACCCCGTACATAAGATCCATCCATCAAGCCAAATACTTGTTCAGTATGAGCTGTGTCCTAGTTGCTGCTCCAGGTAGTGAACAAGGTAGGATCCCTGCCTCCCGCGATTTTACATGCTGGTGAGAGACATGTCAACAGATCCCAAGCAGCCAACCAACTTGGAGGTGGTAACAAGTGCTATGGAAAAAAATAAAGCAGCGAAAAGGAGGTAGCGCGTGGGAATACGGACAGCATCCTTACGTCCATCTCCTGGAGGCTGGGACTTGAACAGCAAGAGAAGTGAAGGGGCCGGTTATGTGACAAAGAGGAGGAAGGGCTTTCCCGGTGGAAGACACAGCACGAACAAAGGCCCTGGGGGCAGGATTGGGCTTGATGTGTACAGGAGCAGTGAGGGAGAGAGGGACCGAGGGTGGGCGGCAGGATGAGAAAGGCTGAGGGAGCTGCGAGTGCAGATCCTGAAGGGACTTTGAGGACATGGCGAGAGCGGTGTTGACACAAGGCAGGATGCTAACAGAGAGCTGGGTAACCAGCTTACTTCCTGGAATTTTGAGTTTTAGAGCTGTTTGCCGCAGAAAGGGCTAGGACAGGTACGCGGTCAACTGTGCTTACTCTGATACGGTGCTAGTGTTTGCCCTGAACGAGCTGAGTTACTGCATAAGCTGTAGAGTGAGCAGCCCCTCGGGCACTGCCTGTGCTTCTGTTCTGAACCCTGAGCCCTGCCTTCCATGGCAGATTTGCACGCTGCAGCTCCTGGATGATTTGTTTCCTTCATTACCTCCACCTCGCTCTATTCCCCCAATCTATCTCCCCCCCCCAAAAAAAAAAAAACCTTGACAAGTTTTCTTTCCGCTGTGTTTGTGACTGCCCCTGCTTGCCCTCCCTCCACAGATAAAACTGTGAAGCTATGGAAAGTCAGCGAGCGTGATAAGAGGCCAGAAGGCTACAATCTGAAGGATGAGGAGGGCCGGCTCCGGGACCCTGCCACCATCACAACCCTGCGGGTGAGCGCTCACAGCCACTGCGGCCACTGTAGGGGGGGGGGGGCAGGGCGGGGGTGCACTCCATGTCAGCCATGCTCCTGCTGCTGCAACAGCCTTGTTGGTGGCGGCTATCACGTGGGAGTGAGGGCACTTGGGCAGGGACTCAACCTGCCCCAGTCTCTCGTGGCAGATGGAAGAGTGGGAAAGGTGCCAAGCCCTAAAGCCTACAAATCCATGCATCTCCCTTTGTCCCTGAGGACTTGCCCAGGTGGCCACTGCCATCCGTTACGCTGTCCTTAGCTTCTGTCTGCTCGCATTAGCTCAGATGTCTGGAGCACCTTATGCTCTCAAAGTCCAGGGGGTGGGACTACCCAGACGGGAAGCTGGGATCTTGTGATCTGGGCATCAATTTCAGAACCCAACTGGAGTAGGTTCGAATTCTACCCCTTCCCGGAGTCCCACAGTCATTTAACCTTTTGCGATTTAGCCACGTGAGTTCCTTGGGATCTCTGCTTACAGCAGGGTGAACATGGTACCTACGGCTCGTGGGCTTAGGAGGATAAAATGCCAGGCGGGTGGAAAGCCCTTCTGTGGCTGATACTCAATCCGCGCTCCGTAGTCTTAGAGCAGCTTCCTGCCTGCCCTCCAGAAATGCAGTCTGCCGAGGAAGGAAGATTTTTTAGACTAAAACACAAATGATCATGACAGCAAATAGAATAAGGCAAACGCACATAAAGAGATTGTCAGAGAGCTGCCATTTGATCAAAGGAGGGAGAAATTACATTTGGTTCTGGGAGGCCAGGAAAGGCCTCATTGGAAAGTGCTGGAAAAATGGATTTTTAAAAGCAGACATTTAAGGCAAGGCACTCTAGGTGTAGTTTAAAGTGGCTTAGGGCTGAATGATGAGTTTCGCTTTTAATGTGTTCCGTGTTGAGTGGTAAAGCAGACCACGCCAGAATCCACCAAGCCCCTGAGGACTTTTAAAACTGTAAAATAGGCACTGGGAGACACCTGCCGCTCTTCTGAGGACCCAAACCTGGGTATGCCTCCTAGGCTTCATATCCGAGTCATGGCACCATTATGTCGCTCCCCCATTCGCGGAGGAACGACACCAGACCCTGCGCTGTTCTTTTGTCTGCTCAGCCCTTCCCAGGTTGGCTGCTGACCCCTCCACCTCCGTGGAGGGGCGGCACCCCCTGCCACTTTCTCCGCTTCCGTGGAGGAGCGGCACACTGCCGGCCGGCTCTCTCGGGGGCTGCTCAGATGTTCCTCAGGTGTTCCTGGTGCATGTTGTCTCTCTCCTCCTTTATAGTCCTCTTCCACCAATCCCAACTCTGCTGCCCACACGCCGAGCATGCTGCTCTCCTCCAATCAGGAGTAGGATCAGCTCCTGCAGCTTATCAAACTGATGAGACAGCTGCGTAGAGGTTGTTTGGTCTCTCTCTCTCTCAGCGCCATATTGTGGGAGAGCAGATGCATAGAATAAGTCTTAATTCCAGTAACTTAGTCTAGTCTCAGTTGCTCCCCACACCTGGGGATGGTGAAGTACATGCGGGGAGAAGCAGCTCTGGCCTGGGAATAACCATGGAAATGAGAAGTGGCTGTATGCTGTCGGCCTGCCTGGCCAGCCTATTTATCCGTGCGTTCGTTTACTCGTGGCTTTGTCTGTGATTTTTGGACATGGATTCCGTGGCAGGCTGTTGGATGTTTCCCGGTCGAGTGCCTTTGGAAGCAGGAAGTGTTAGCTGCTGCTTTGTCTGAGCCAGTGCCTTCAGGTCCCCCTCGTCAGACAGTGGAAGAGTCCTTGCCCACCCTTGATGCCCTAAGCGTGCAGAGGTATTGGAGGCTGGGGGGTTGAGCAGCGAAGGGTACCAACGCCGAATCTGTTTGGCTCCACTACTCTCTGGCTGATGGCATTGAATGTTTTGTGCCCCCAGCGTCTCACCTGTATAAGAGGGATGATAATAGGCCCTAGCAGGGTTGTGCGGATTCAATAAGATATTGTATGTAATGAGGAGCTTAGCCTGTGTGATGTCTGGAACACAATCAATAATGTTAGTTTACTGGTACTGTCTCATCATCATTATCAGCACAGCTTTTATTACCCCCTGCTGATAATAGACATACATGAGAAAATTCACATTATTTTTTATACTGTTTTTATACTATTGTATTCACTCTACCAATGAGTCACTGGCATCTACTAAGGGGCTTGGATTGAGCTGGTGACAGAAGAAAATTCCCATCAGAACCTCACAGTCCTGTGGGGAAAACAAATAAATTGGGTGCCGTGACCGCCTGCCCAGACTTGACCTTGCCCTTGTTTTCCGTGTGGATGGAATCACTCAGATGCCCTCTGTAGCCCCTGCTGTGCATTCCTGTTGCTCATGGTACCTTAAAGCTTTAGATATCTGTGCTTAGGCCAGCGCCGTGGCTCACTAGGCTAATCCTCCGCCTGGCGGTGCCGGCACACCGGGTTCTAGTCCAGGTTGGGGCGCCGGATTCTGTCCCGGTTGCCCCTCTTCCAGGCCAGCTCTCTGCTGTGGCCAGGGAGTGCAGTGGAGGATGGCACAGGTCCTTGGGCCCTGCACCCGCATGGGAGACCAGGATAAGTACCTGGCTCCTGGCTTCGGATCAGCGCGGTGCGCAGGCCGCAGCACTGGCCACGGCAGCCATTGGAGGGTGACCCAACGGCAAAAGGAAGACCTTTCTCTCTGTCTCTCTCTCACTGTCTAACTCCGCCTGTCAAAAAAAAAAAAAAAAAAAAAAGATATCTGTGCTTAACCCTCTGGAGAATAGCGTCCCTGTGAAAAAGAGGAGGAGGGCTGATTTAGTTTCCGTTAGAGGGGCCAGTGTGGTGGCCTTTGGAATTAAACCCCCCACTTGAAATATCAGAGGGCCAGTTTGAGTCCCAGCTGCACCCTTCTGATCCAGTTCACTGCTACTGCACCTGGGAAAGCCGCAGAACGTGGCCCAAGTACTAGGGCCTTGCACCCCTGTGGGAGACCCAGACAGAGTTCTGGACTCCTGGCTTCAGCCTGAACCAGCCCCGGCCATTTGCAGCCATTTGGGGAGTGAACCAACAAATGAAAGATAACTCTGTCTCTCACTATCTCTTTTACTTTGCCTTCAGATAAATAAATCTTTCAGATAAATAAATCTTCTAAAGGTTTATTTATTTATTTATTTGAATTACAGAGTTACAAAGAGGGAGGCGGAGCAACAGAGCTAGAGAAATTGTGTGGTTCACTCTCCAAATGGCTGCGGTAGCCAGGGCTGGGCTGGCTGAAGCCAGGTCTCTCAGGTGGTTGCAGGGGTCCAACTACTTGGGCCATCTTCTGCTGCTTTCCCAGGTGCATTAGCAGGGAGCCGATCAGAAGTGGAGCAGCCAAGACGCCAATCAGTGCCCATATGGATGCCAGTGTCGCAGGTAGCACCTGCGCCACAGCGCCGGCCCCAATAAGTAAATCTTTTAAGAATTACATTGTGTCCGCTAGAGCAGAGTCCATCCTCCCCATGGCAAGACAAGGATGCTAATGAAGTGGACTTCATGTCACACAGGAGGGGACCCTGCTGTGTGGCTGAGAGTGGTCAGTCCCGATTCTGGCTCTGGTGTGACCCTGGCTGATGAAACATTGCTTCCCCCCAAGCAGGGGACTGGGCAAGGTGGGTTCCTGAGGCCCATCCCTGTCTGGGAGATACAAAGGAATCTCCGTGTGCAACAGCTGCCCCTGGGGGTTGAGACAAGGAGGTCTGTGGTCAGTGGACTCCATGGTCCCCAGGGCCCCCTGGAACTGCTGTTTTGTGAGCATCTGTTATTTTTCAGTCATTTTAGCAATTTGAGAAACAGGTGTGCTATAAAGTTATAAATACCCATAGGATTTCACCTTCTCTCCCTTCGTAGGCTGTCAAATTTCCTGTGTTTCAGTGTAAACGTGCCCACCCCAGTGTTCTTTCTTTTGATACAAACACTGAAAAGCCTGCCTTCCTTTTTGAACCCCATGCAGAAGAAAGAAAACCTAGGTGACCGTCAAGACAGTAGATCCAGAACAGTGACTCCAAACAGAGAAGGCGCTGACATAGTAATCAGACTATAATTTACCAACAGGCTCTGCTCTTGCAATTTGCATTGCCAGCAATTGTGTCTTTTTTCGCCTCCCTGTGCTATGATTACCTCTCGCTCACTTTCCCAGTTTCCGGTTGTACGTGGGTCTGGAGAATGAGAATATTTAACAATACCCGACAGCTGATTAATCCTCTCTGTGTAATGAACCTGTTCTGTGTCCGTGCCGAGGCTCAGCTTTCCAAAGGAAGACTGTGGCTTTTCCTGTTGTTCATGGAAGATAGCCTTTCAAATCCAATCACATGCTACCAGCAAGAGCCTATGAGAAGCACTTCTGTGAAACTGCCGTCTCCCTCTCAGTAGTGTAACAAGTCATGATAGTAACTTAATAACACTTGTGGTGTAAAGTGCCATTTCCCTCACCAAGTGCTCTCCTGCCTAATGCCTTGCTTCATCTTCAGACCAGCCGCAGAGGAGGTCAGGACAGGTATTGGCAGGTGGACATGCTGGCCTTCAGGGTTTATTGAGCATTTGCTATATCCCACACACCGTGCAACATGCACTCTATCTGTATTAACTACCTCAAGAGGTGCAGTTCACTGGTGAAGGGTCCGTTTTAACAAAGGAGGCTCCGAGAGATTAAGTAACACAACCAAGATTGTGCAGTGCTGAGGGTCAGAACTTGACCTCTGTGGCTCTGGGACTCAGGTCCTGCAAACTGATGCAGACTCAGAAAGTGAAAGTGACTCCAATGTCCATCTATGTTCATTCATTCCAGGGCTGTGGCTCTTCAACTTGGAATCAAACATTTGGACTTTAGCTGTGGTTGTCTATGAATAATTAGTGCATTATTATTCCAGGCCAATCAGGGGATGGATAGATGAATCAATCAGTCAATCTCTCTCTCCCTCTTACACACACACACGCTCGCTAAGTTTCCAGATCCCTGACCTCAGCA